GACAAGCGCCCGCTGACCCCCGAGGTAGGGGGGCGGCGAAGATTCTCAAAACCGAAATGGAAAGACCATTGCCCCTGCCCCCCCGCTCCGCCGCCCCCTGGGCCAGACGCAGCAGCAGGGGGCGGCAAAGGGGGGGGTGGTCGGGCGCTTCGTTTTCCCTTCGCCCCAGGAATGGCTTGCCTGGGCTGCAGTAGCCGCAATGTCACCGCGCGAGTGCAAGAGCCAGCTGCCGGCGAAAAGCAAAGCATCAAAGGAGGACAATGAGAAGAGGGCACGCGCGGATAGGAGGGGCGAAGGGGGAGGTGGGGGGGGGGCGAGGGGGAGGGGAACAGCTGAAGGGCGATGACAGGTCATGGAGGTCGCCACTGCCCGTGTCACCGCGTTACTGCATACCCTGGTGGCCCTCGCTGGCTTTACTGACGCAGCCGCGAGCCTGAACATCGAATTCGCTGCCGCTGCGCTCTTGCAAAAATATGCATGGCAATCGCGCGCTCGTTAGCACCCCTGCGCAGGAGAGCCGCCGATGTCGACCCGTTTTCCGCGACGTCTTCCGCGGCGGCTTCGCGGCTCGAGGTCCCCCGGTTTTCCGATGGTAGAAATGCTCGGCAAACGCGAGCGCCGATATGATGCTGCGTCTTTTCCGCGTGACAGGGGGCCGAGGGCAAACGCGGGCGCGCTGGTGGCGACCAATGCGCTCACCCACTCCTGGGCCCAGTCGCTCCTGGGCGGCGCCCGCGCGGGGGGCCGCCGAGGAGTGGGCGACTTGACCAGCCGCCGAGGCGCGGGCGAGAAGGGCGCCAGCAAGTGAGCTGACGTCGGCGGCAATGCCTGCAGGAGGCTGCGAAGGCGATATCTTCGAGACAGTTCGTGGCCCAGGACGCACTTCGCAGACGTCCGTCGTTGGGTCGAGGGGCGTAGCTGCGAGCAGAAGGAATGGGTCGCTTTCGGTTCGCCGCGCGAATGCTCTGCCCAAGCGGCGCAATGCGGCGCGCCGGAAAACTGGACCAGCGGTCTGGATAAAGTCGGGGAGAGTCACGCGCAACGCTGCCTCTCGGAAGTGCATGTCGGCTCGGAGAAACATTCCTGCAGGCCCGTGGGCCGACGGCACCCCGCGCCAGCGGGGCCGCGACCGGCCAATAGACATCGCGCGCTTAAATTTGCCGGGGCCGCCCAGAATGACGCAGGCGCGCAAGCTACGCGCGCCCATCGCTGGGCCGATGAAGGCTCCCATGAGCACGAACGCGCGGCATGACATTGTTCAGTGTGACTTCTCTGAGCTAGTTGCCCATGGCTCCAAGCAAATACCCTGCAGCCCGCCACGGCGGCAGAGCTTGGTTGCAGTCTGACTTTCGCAGGAGCAAGAAGGCAGGTGCTGACCAAGGCTGCAGGTCTGCGCCGGCGCAGACGCTCGCAGATAGGGGGCGCCGGAGACAAGCGCTCGGGCCCCCGCAGTGCAAAGAGAAGGCGGGGCGCTGCTGGACGTGCCGCGTGACGCCGCGGCAGGCCCCTCATTCCTCGTTTATCATTCCCGCGCCACCCGCCCCCCCCCCCTCTCGCCCGCGCAAGTCCCCCGGGCGGGGCGCTTCAGCAGCGCGGCGCCGCGGCGGGGCATCGGGTGCGCGAAGACGCAGCAGATCCAACGCTTCGCAGAACAAGATGTCATTATACCGCCTACGACGTCAATCCCATGGGTAAACCAGTCGGTCTGAAGAACCGATCGGTTATACGCAGTTGACGCGGGCGCGGCCGCAGATTGGTTGGGGCGCATGTTTTTTCGCATTCATGCAATTGCAAAAATTCACTGGCCCCACGCACGACGAACAGCGCAAAGAGTTATGGGGGCGTCTGAATGCTTGGCACGAGCGGGCACCAGAAGCGGATCGAATCCACTCCTTGACAGCGAAGGCCATCTGACTCAAACGAACACTGCGCCTTTTCGAGGCAACCTGCTGTCATCCGACACGTGGTGCCTTTTGGGAAAAAGCTCGCCGACGAGCTGTGCGACCCGAGTGTCGTCGAGGAGGCAGCGATGAGACGCGCTATGTTTCACTTCTCTCGGCGTTACATCTGCTTGCGAAGTGATGGCATGGCAAGGGAAATTCTGCATCGCCAATCGATCAAGTTCAGCCTGCAACGAGCCGCCCTGCACGGCATGCGCCCCGGGGAGTGTATCACACGAGACCGAAGACCCATCAAGTGATCGAGATGGGCTGAGAAGCCCTACAGGGGCATCAGCCCGAGACGCTCTGGACTTGCAGAGGCGATGACTTCGGGGGCACGGGCGCGCACTTCGCCAAGCCTCACGGCAGCGTGCTCGCGCCAGAAAAATACAGCGCCGCATTGATGTCCCGATTTTTCTCGCAGCCCTTCGCGCGGATAGTGCAATGGGATCGCTCCAGCTTTCTCAAAAACGGAGGTCGTCATCCTTTCTCCCTCCTGTGCAGGAGCGGCAAATCGATCCGCCTCGCTCAGCCGCTCATTCCCCGCGCCGTCCGAGTTCCAATCGTAAAAATTCATCCCTGTTGTCCACCTATTTGCCGCAGCCGCTTTTGGTCTACACGTTGTTCCTGCAAACTGCCCACGGATTCGCTATTGTACACATGGCTGCCTGGGACGTTCGATGCTCCGCGCGCGGCGCCCTCAGCGCTGCGGGCAACATGGGGTCCTGGCGCTTCGTGCAGCTGCAGGACGGTCCCTGTGGGCATCGCTGCTGCCAGCAGTGCGCCCATAATTGCTGCTTGAGCCTCATTGCGGAGCTGCGGAACGTCGACCCGCCCACGGCCGCGAGGATGTTCGAGGAGCGCCTGGCGATCGCGGCGGGGTCGCGCGCGGCCCAAGACGGCGAGAGGGACAGGCGGGCGAAGCAGCGGGGACGGCTTCAGTGAGTGGTGAAGCCACGCGCCGTCCGGGCGCCCAGAATCGGGAGCGTGCTCCCCTCTGCGCTCCTCGCGCCCGCTGAGACAACAAATCGCGGCGAGGGGGCGACGTCTCCTGCCGAGGAGACGCCGCGAGGCAGGAGGGGGAAGAGGAAAAGAGGAGGGAGGGGGTGTGGGGCGGAATAACATGACATTAACATGAGGTCAACATAGAAATCGCAGGGGCCTCTGGCTTCTAATTCGAGCATATAGGTCATGAAGCCATATGCAGTAAACTATATAACTCTGTACGCCTTAACTACATATGATTGTTCAGAAGACCAGATTGGACCCTCAAGGAAATACGTGAAGATCTGAATTCAATGTCGCCGCCCAAGGCAAGAGAAACGTCCAAGGGCATACGCATGAATGATTGGAGGTCCGCGCGGATTTCTTGGATCGGCGCTGGACCCCCACTCCCTGGCGGCGGCGCTGGCGGCGCCGCCACGAGGCTCCAGCGCAGATTCAAGAAATCCGCAAGGCGCTCCGAGAGTTCATGTTTACCAAATTTGTCCTTCTTCGAGAACAGACATCAAGGGGGACGGAATGGACGATGCTGACCTGAAGTGCCCCCCCCCGGGGGAAACCAACAGGTACCGATAAGTCACCGCTGCTCCCTGGACCTCGCCCGGGGCGCGTTCGGACCAACACTTCGCGGAGCATCACAGCGGTGGCGACGAAGGCCTCCCAGGAGGCCCAAGCATAGAGGAAACAAGCAACGGCATAAACAAAAACTTTTGGCGGTCCGCGCGATTTCTGGGATCTGCGCTGAACCCCCCTCCCTGGCGCGCGGGGAGCGCCAGGGGCGGCGCCGGAGGCGCCGCCAGGGCGCTCCTGCGCAGATCCAAGGAATCAACGCGGAACGCCAACAGTTTATGCTTATGCCGATGTCTCTGCCGCGATAGCAGGAGGAAAAGCGACACCGGGAGGGGTCACGGGTGCCTCCTCCTCCTCCGGCCCCCGTGCGAATAGGCACTCCCCGGACCTCTCCCGGGGCGCGTCCTTTGACCAGCACTTCGCGGAGCATCCGGCGGTGGCGACGAGGGCCTCCCAGGAGGCCCGAGCAGGGGGAAGAGAGGCAAATGTGAAGGGTCACGCGCGCCTCTTCTGAGCAGGGACCGACCGTCCGGGCATTTCTATCGGCCTACCACGACACGCTCTTAGAGCCCAAAAATGTGCTAAGAACAAGCACAATGCTCTTAGAACGTGAACCCGATGCGTCAAGACAGGACAGTCTCAGCCAGAAGTGCTCTGAAAACATTTCGTGCAGACCACAAAAGGCTCTTAGAACATCCTCTGGTGGGCCTATAGGCGAGCCAGGACGCTTCGCCACTGCTTGACAGGAGGCCCAAGCAGGAGGAAAAGAGGCACATGTTAGGGGTCACGCGTACCTCTAGGTCGGGCCTGTCCCCCTACAGGGGGGATCTTCAGCGATAAATTAAAGATATTCAAAACAAATGCCATAAGATACTCAGACATGCTTTTTACAAACAATTCGTCCCCGGACTATCTTTTAAACAACTTTTAATATCCCTCCTGTGGAGGGACAGGCCCGACTTCAGCGTACCCCGACCCCCTGCGGATCGCCACACCTGCCGTCGCTCGGACGTCCATGTCCTGTGCGTGCTTCGGCTTTCGAGCGCGCTGTCTTCTGGTTTGCTCGAGGGCCCAGGAGAGCCCTCGATGGTTCGACCGCTCTCGCCGAGAAAAAAAAAACGCACACGTCCGAGCGATGCCGAGCATGACGAACGAACAACACCCACCCATACCCACAAGGGGGCCGTTGGGAGGAGGACTGGCTATGGGTATGGCTGCGGGCTGCCGGACCCCAGGGAACGCTCCCGTTCGAGCGGGGACCCCCATCCGACAACGCGCACCCATGGCCCTCTCCGACCCCCCTGTATGGGTGTGGGTGTATGTGTGTGTGTGGGTGTATGGGTGTGGGTGTATGTGTGTGTGTGTGTGTGTGTGGGTGTGTGTGTGGGTGTGGGTGTGGGTGTGGGTGTGTGTGTGTGTGTGTGTGTGTGTGTGTGTGTGGGTGTGTGCTGCTGGCTCGTCAGAGCACCCCGCGGGCGCGGGGCGGGCTCCCGACGGCCGCAGCCCCGCGGCGCCGTGCGCGGGGTAGCCCACGCCGGGAGGCCTCGGGCGCGGCGCGTCCGCCGGGCGCGCCGCGGCTCGCGCGGCCGCGCGCGCTCGGTGCAGCGAGGGCCCGCGCGGGGCCTCCCGGGGGGGGGAGGGGGGGCCCGCAAAACCTCAAAACCTCGAGGGCGAGGCCCTTCCTGGGACGCCCCGCGTGCGACGGCGTGCGTGCAGTGATGTGGCGGCAATCCCAAGCATCCCGCGACGTTTTTTGTCAAAACCTCGGCCCCAAAGGTCCCGACCACTTTTGGGGGATCCTCTGACCTGGGTCAATCCAGGCCCGGGTCAACAGGAAACCCAAAAACTGCAGTGCAGGAAAATAAAAAAAACTGCACCGCAGGCCTTCGCAAACCCGGGTCAGCCAGCGTGCGCGGCCGCCTCGCGGCCACGAGCGGCTCGCTGACCCGGGTCAGCCAGAGGGGTTCTTCGCAGGATCCTGCAGGATCCGGTGCCCTGGCTGACCCCCGTTTGCACTGACCCCCGTCTCCTAAGCCCCGAGGGAGGAAGGGCCCTGACCTGCCAGGAGGGCTAAGCAACAGCACCAGGACCTCGATGTCTGAATTCCTGTCGAGGTTTCAGGAAGCCCAGGTAGATGAGAGGAGAGACGAGGGAGGAGAGAGGGAGGCGGGCGGGAGCGGGGGAGGGAGCAGGGCGGAGGGAGGGGGGAGGGAGGGAAGGAGGGAGGGAGGGAGAGAGAGAGAGAGAGAGAGAGTGAGAGAGAGAGGGAGAGCTGGTGCGTGGACCCTGCGCCGCCGCTCTCGCGGCCCGGCCGATCTAGGCAGGCCCCCACCAAGCACCTCCAGAGGGATGCGTTTGGCCTCGGACTCCGCCTGGGATCCTTCTGAGGCGCCCCATAGGACGCGAAGAAGACGAGGCGGTACAGGCAAGGACACAGCTTATATGGCTGTTGGCAAAGGCCCTGCCGCGCACTGCGCGCGGAAAGAGAGACTCGGCCGTCCAGACAGCAGGCATCGTCATCATCACATCCGTTCCTCCCCTCCCCCTGCAACCCTCCCCCTGGCTTCCAGGCAAGGCACGGCAAGAACCGCACGAGAGCCACAAGCGGCTCGGGCGTCTCGGTGGAGGCACCGAAGATGAGGCAAGGCCCACCCTGCAGGATCGGTTGACGGTACAGCGTGGAGCGGTGCCGCAGCCTCCCCCGAGCATGGGCCACCCCGGGGCAACTGCCAGACCAGCCCCTGGCTTCCAGAGGGATGAACTCACATGTGAGGGGGACGACAAGGGGGACCAGTTCAAGGGGTGAAGCATCGACCTTGGATCGGCGATGCATCACCGATAGAACCGCTCTCGCCTGATTGCGCACGCGTGTTCTTTGACTCGCTGCACTGCCGCCGGGACCAGTGTCAGCCGCTGTGTACCTCCATATTTGCGTCTTCTCTGCTTTCCGCCTAGCACGCCTCATGCAAGTGCAGTCTGCGATCATACCCTCCATGCTCGTTCAAACGTTTTATGACCCCCTGGCAAAATATCTGGTCCATGGTTCTGACGGATGTTGCTTTCGTGCAGCATGCAGCTCGTTTGAACAACAATACAATTGACTTCGTCCCACGGCCATTATGTTCGAAGAGGAGGGCATCTGGCTTGCCGTCGCTCGGACGTCCATTTCCCGTGCGTTTTTCGGTTTCGTGTGTTTTTTGTTGCTCGATGGTCCTGGATGGTCCTCGATGGTTCTCGCCGAGAAAACATGCACACGTCCGAGCGATGCCAAGAGGAGGCCATCTGGGGCCGTGGCAGGAGCCACGGGCGGCGCGCCCTCTCCGGGGGGGCCAGCCTCACTTGCAGGAGCGCTACCTTACATTCATGCCTGACTGTCCTCTTGCATGCTTCAAGGCACCTCTCTCTCTCTCTATTTCCAATCTCCATATGCGAGAAGACGAGCAGTGGCAACTAGTTTGACGGGACTGGCGCCAGACTACCCTCTTGCTGCCAGAAGGGAAAGAGAGGGGGGATAGAGAGAGAGATAGAGAGAGAGAGAGGCAGAGCAAATCGCTATCAGAGATCACTATAGAGGGGGCATATCACTATGAAAGGTCACTGCTTGCTGAACTACACCTTCTCGTTTATTCTCCTTCTTCTGGAGCATCAAGAGATGGGAGCGGACCGCGATACTATACACAACTCGCCTCGCTGAGCGTGCTGGCAATCAACATGCTTGCCGCAAGGCTGTCCTGCAACAGCCTTGCGTCGAGCATGATGACTGCCAGCATGTAGTAGTCCCCAGCGAAAGCAGACTCCTAGATGGGGTCGGAGTAGATGAGGTCGGATGATCGCGCCGCATCGGCGATACATCGGCGATACATCGCCGATGCATCGGCAATGCATCGGAGACGTCGGCGACGCATCGGCGACGCTGGCGTGAAGAACATCGGGCCCCGCATTTAGCCGCATCGTCGATGCATCGGCGATGCGGTCTGATCCTCCGACCCCATCTGTGGCCATCGCTCGGACGTCCATTCCCTGTGTGTTTTTCGGTTTCGTGCGTGGCTTTTTCGCCAAATGATCAAGGATGCTCCTCGAGGGTCCTCGCCGAAGGAAAACTGCACACGTCCGAGCGATGCCACTGGGAGGCCCAGAGACAACGGCGACGGGAGACGGCACCGGCGCTGGGCGGCGACCGCGACGGCAATGGGCCCCGGCGACGAGCACCCCGGCCCCGCCGGCCTCGGCGGCCGAGCTGGCACTCGGCTCGGCGGCACCGGGCCGCCTCGCGCGCGCGCGCGCGAGCTCCCGGGCCGCAGGGGAGGCGCGCGTGCGCGAGGCCCGATCCGCAGCTCCGGCCCTGAACCGGACCTTCGAGGAGGGTTAAGAAAGGACCTCGACATCTAAATTCCAGTCGAAGCTCTAGAGGCAGTCCAGACAGGTCTGTAGGTCTGGAGGGCTTTGTTTTAGCACTCCGGAAGGTTAGGGCACAGGCCGTTTTAGCTCAGTTTCGGGCACGGGGGCCCTCACAGACCGATCAGGCGCGAAGAATGATGTGGATGGGGTCCTCCGGGGCTCCTTTCGAGATCTTGTGCGATGTTGCATTTTGGTGTTTTGCAACGTCGGAGCTCAATGAATACCAGGCCCCGCGGGCCGGAGTTGCAACGACGGAGGGTGGGACAAGCTAAAGGGGGGGGGAGATCGACCTGGAATCGGCGAGCCATCGCTGATGCATCGGCGATAGTCCCCCGATTGCGAAGCCGAACGTTCCCGGGCGGGGTCGGCTATCGGGCTCCTGTTGGCGATGATCGCCTCTCGCGCTCACCCTCGCCCCACCGCACCACCCTCAGGGCGCCCAGCCTTGCCTTCTTCACCTCGCGCCGCAGTGTTCCCTCCACCCTGGCCCCCACCCGCAACAGCCCACTCCTGCTGCGCCGTGCCGCTCTGCAGGCGGCCCCTTCCCCCCCCCAGGACGGGCGAGGCCCACGTCTGGGCCACACCTGCACGAGCACCGCGCCGCCGCCAGCGCGCCCAGGCGACTAGGGGGGTTTGAGAATCAGCTCACGCAGCTGATTTTCCTGGCGCCTCCATGTATCGAGGAATGGGCCCGGCGGCGGGGCCGAAACCAGCTGCATGCAGCAGATGTCGTACTCCCCCCTTTCCCAGTCCCCCACCTTCGTCCGGCCCGATACTTGAGGACGCATCCCAGGAATAATTTCGAGCACCCAGGGAAGTGCCATAACAGTGTCGAAGAGGTATCGGCTCTCAGGGCCCGACACGCGACGGCCCTCCCCGAAAAGCTTTCTGGTGATCAAAGCTAAAGTATAGGTTGGAACATCATACCCTGAGATTGAAGCGTGGCCCTGAACTCAACGTCTCGACTGCAGAGTCGAGATGAGCGCGCTCGCTTCACGCCTGCCGTGCTGCCGACCTGCGCCGCCCTCCCTTGTCGGATGGTCGAGCAGTGTGCCTGGGAAGACGAGAATGGAATGATCGAAACCTCGATTCAAAACCTTTCAAATCGCGACTCCCAGCTTTTGGTCCCGCCCATCCCCTCTCGCTCCGCTGGGCTCCCTCCTGCCTGCCGACTTGGGGGGGGGGGGGGGGGCAGCACCTCGGCGGCCCGGGCCCACCGAGAGGCGGGAAAAAAGAGCGCGGCCACGCCCGAAGCCCCGCTATGGGCGACCCCGAGTGCGCTGCCCGGCCGCGGGCGGCCCTATAGCAACGACCCGCCGCGGCGCGAACGGGACAGCAACTGCTGCCAGCGAAGGCCGTCGGAGCTCCGCGCGGACTTCTCGCACCGGTGCCGGACTCCCCTGGCGCGCGCCCCTGGCGCGCGCCGCGCGCCAGGCAGGGGGGGTCCAACGCGACGATGCAAGAAGTTAGCGCGGACTTCCAAAAGTTTACCTTCCTTGGGAGGCAGGGACTTCTTGATAAACACCGCCTGGGGGATCGAGCTTCGGGGGGCCTCGGCAAGCGGCGGATACGGATGCATTCCCCGCCCCCCACCGTAGGCCATGAATCTGGTCATATCCCTCGCCCGCCGGGTCCCCCGAAGCCCGATCCCCCAAGCGTCGATTCTGGAGAAATCCCTGCCTCGGATTCACGCGGTCCATCATTCCTCGAGGGTCGCATCGCGGGGCCCATCCCAGCCCGCGAAGCCCGCGCGCGCAGGCGCCTGGAGGGCCCGCGGGGGTCATCGGCGTGAGCTCCTCGCTGCCGGAGGAGGCGCCGACCTGGCGGCGCAGCCCACGAGGGGGGCTGCGGGGCGGAACGGCGCACGGGCGGCGGGCGGCGGGAACACGAGCGCGAGCTGCATGGAGCTGTCCACAGCCTGCGGAGCCGATCGTCCTGGGCCCCGGGAGGCGGTGGATGTGGATGAAGGTCAGGAGAGACGAGGAGTACCACTGCCACCCGTCAAGGGAGTTGCCGCTCCCTCCCCTCGAGCTGGTACCTCGCTCCGGGAGCTCCCTGGAGGCATGCCCCGAACGAGGTGCCACCAAGCTCGAGAGGGTGGGACATCCACGCCCCTATAGTTATGTCGGGCGTGTCCCCCTACAGGGGGATTTTCGAGGGAAACAAAAAATACCGCCAAAATACCCCAAAAAGGCAAAAATACACAGAAAATAGTCCCCAGATAATTGTTTGACTATTTTGATGGTTTGTTTTTCATTTTTCATCGAAAATCCCCCTGTAGGGGGACAGGCCCGACTTAACCCTATAGCTGGTGGCAGGGGTACTCTTGTCTTCGGTGGGCAGTCGGTCGGGCGTTGGTAGAACTGGGTTTAGTGGGACCTGGTTCAGGGATCTACACTGCCCCGTCTCATTTCCACTAGCCGGAACTCCCGCCACCCGAAAAAACACCAGCTATGGCAGACCTGGTTTCGTGATTCTGGCCAATTCGCAGGCTCCGGGGCCCTACCACTAGCCGGGTCCCCTTGCCCGGGGTCCTGGCTGTACCCGAGCCGGAGCCCCCCCGCGGCCTGCGCAGGTCCAGAGGCAGAGATCGGCGCCGCAGGCCGCGGAGCACAGTCTCGGCGGCGCCCTGCCATTGGAGCAGCAAGGCGCGTGCGCCTCCAAATCGTCGAGAGGCAGCTCGGCTCCCGGGAGCTCCCTCGAGGGAGCAGCGAGGACCTGGTTCGGGCGTTGGCAGAACTGGGTTTAAGGGGCCTGGTTTCTGACGTGCGCTGGAGGGCGCCCCCCCGCCCCGTTCCACTGACTGGAGCTGCCGTCACCCGAAAAAACACCAGCTACGGAAGACCTGGTTTAGTGACTCTGGCCAATTTAGGGGCTCCAGGGCCCTACCACTAACTGGATCCCCTTACCTGGGGTCTTGGCTATACCCGACTGGTAATGTCTGAGGTCGATCGGGAAGGCGATGGGCCAGATGAGCCCAACGAGTCGGCCAGACTCGGCGGGTTGAACTTGACTGAACGGCTAAGCGGAGGTAGGCAATATTAGATGACGCTTCCGTCCGCGGATACGCATACCATTACCGATGCTGAATTCCCAAGCGTTGCAATGACGGTAGACGCGATCGCAATCCTGAAAGAACAGGGCTCATGCCACACGCACCTCGAAGCCCCTTGCCATTCCCAACCCTCAACCGAAGTAATACACTGTCTTGTGTTGCAGGAAGGTATGCTTGCAGACGCTACGAGGCATCTCGTAGAAGTTCTTCGTGGGAGAGATGCAAGACTGTTGAGGTCACGAATCAGCCCGATTCAGCCAGACTAAGCGGATATGAGTGGAAGGAGGCAATGATGAGAAGTTGTCCAGCCGTGGATAACTATGATGGCGCCGACACTGAGTTCCCAGGAGCTCCGATTTTGACACACGCGATCGAACCCCTAAAAGAACAGGGCTCAGGCCCCCCCACCTCCAAGCCCCTCCCCCTTGCCCTTGCCCCCCGACCGAGGTAACACTCTGCCAAGCATGAATGGCCGTCGCCGCTGCTGCTGCGTCCCGCTGCTGGCGGTGCCGCGGCACACTTCTCCACGACAACGCCGCGCCGCGCGTGCGCCCGCGGGGCTCGAACGGGCTCGCGACGCAGCCGCTGGGCTCTGTGTTTTGCTTTTCTGGCCGCAGCACAACTGGGCGGCAGTCTGAGCAGGCGACGGGAGGCGCCGGAATGGTACACGAGGCCCAGGCCCAGGCCTCCGGGGCACCTGCCAGAGGCTACGAGCGCCGCCGCTTGGCGGGCGGTGGCCCCTCGTCCTGGCTGCCCTGCTGCCCCAGGCTGCGCTTCCTTGTCCTGTGCCGGCAGCAGCAGCAGAGAGAACTCCGCAACTCATGGGCCGGGCGCACAAATTGGCACAAGACGCACCGTGAGAAAAGCTCGGTGGCAAGAACCAACAACACCGAATAATTTACCCTCGACTGCAGCAGATCCAATGTGCTGAACCCGGTGCGGTGCACCAGAACGTACGTGAACGCCTTGAAGAGCCACACGCACATCATGAGGCTTGTAGCCATGCGTTCGATCTTGTCCTTGTACGCCCACGGGTAGGTCTTCTTCCCTCCCCTCTTCTGCCCACCGCGGATGAGCCGCTGGACGGTGAAGCCCAGGCCCTCGAAGACGCGCAGGCAGAGCCCGTGCAGGCCCACTCCAACGCGCGAGGAGAGCGAGCCTCCCTCGGCCTGGAACTTGTGCGTCAGGGCGAAGGGGAACCAGCAGCAGAACGCAAACCATGGATCGGCGCCGAGCCCACGTGGGAAGCGAGAGGACGCAGGCATTTCGGAGGGCGGCCGGGCCTCTGCGAAGCCTTCCAGCCTTCTGAGAAATGTTCCGCCCGCCTTCGGAGAAGGCTTGGGAGACTCCTCGGGAGGCGCGGGGGCTTCCGAGAAGCTCTGCCACCTTCTGAAAAGGCCTGCCCCCTCTCGGTTCCTCCCGGGCTCGCCGCCGAATGGGAACGGCTGGTCTGGCTGGCCCCTGGCGCCCAGGGCACGAGCCGACCATACCCTTTGAATCAACTCGAAGGTTGGCAGTGCCGGGAGGCACTGTGAGAACAGGCACAGGTTCCAATTGGAGGGCATCATTGCGAGCAACGGTAGCATGGAATAGACCATACAATTGATAGAACCAGCATCTGGACAGACGTTGTAAGACCTCCCGCGAACAGCCATGCCCGTGAGGGCGCTCTGCAGTCGCGACTCCAGCTCTGCACGGCTCATGACGGTGTCGAGCAGCTTGTACTTGCTGGCGTCCACGTCCTGATAGACCACCCTCGGGAACTTGCTGTCCACGCCCTTGCCACCCTGAATCGTCACGATGGCGCCGCAGTCGTTGCCATGCCTGCCCTCGCGAGGGAAACATTTGCAAGTCTCTTCGGATAGCATCTCGGAGAGCACGTTGTACTCCATCCGCAGCGCCACGCGCTGGCGCGCGTCGCCACACCTGGAGCCGACCTCTACGACAGTCGCGGCGTGCATCACCTCCTCACCTAGAGGAACAAACAACTGCGTACGGCGGGTTCGTGTCGTGCCGACTTCGGCGTGTCTTCCCGACACCGCGGGGACCGTTCCGCCTTGAACGATCGGCCGTTTCCAAAACATCAGATCGTTCAACATCGACCGGTTCTGGTCGGGGGCGCGCAAACATGGATTAGCGATCCATGGATTTGGCGCGCGGTCGCCGAATCCACGGATCGGGGGAGGTGCCCTCCCCAAAATGCGGCCGGTGACGACACGTTCGGCGGCGGAGATCCGCGGTTTCCCATGGAAGCGGGAGCCGTCGCTGATCCACTCCCCCTTCCCAGACCCCCGACGTCGTGATTTTTTCATGACGCGGCCCCCAGAGGTCCGGACCCACTCCCTGGGACCGGTTTTTCATCCCGAGTCGTCTTTTGACGGTCCCGAGGCCCGGGAATGGCCCCCGGGGGCCGAAAATCGGGAGAACCCTCCCGTCGTGATTTTTCACGACCCGAGGGGGTTTGGGTTGATCCATGCTTGCGATCGCCTGATCTGGGTCGCCCGCGGCACTCAGCGGTGAACGCGGGCGGCGGGGTCGCCGCCGGTCGAGACGACGCGAGCCCGGGCGCCGTGCTGTCGCATCGAGTGCCACGATCGCCGGACGAGGGCCAGTCGATACAGCGGCGGCTCCCCCGCCCAGCCCAGATTGGCTAAGACCGGGGGAGGAGGAGGAAGGAGGAGGAGGAGGAGGAGGAGGAGGGAGGAGGAGGAGGAGGGAGGAGGAGGAGGGAGGAGGAGGGAGGAGGAGGAGGAGGAGGGGGAGGAGGAGGAGGAGGAGGAGGAGGGAGGGAGGAAGGAGGAGGAGGAGGAGGAGGGAGGAGGAGGGCAAGGAGGCGCGTGCGCACTCCTCGGTGCTGGATGCCCTTCCCGCCGCCGCCCCCTCCCCCCCCGCCGGCGCGCGGAACGCGCGCGCGCCTGGGGCCACCGTGGAGGCGCCGCCCCGGCGGCGCTCCGCGAGCGCCGATCCCGTGCGGAAATTCCGCCGTGAGTCCGCAACGTCGCTCGGACGTCCATTCCCTGTGCTTCTTCCCGGTCTCGTGCGAAGCTTTTTCGCCAAATGGTCAAGGACGCTCTTCGAGGGTCCTCGCCGAAGGAACAATGCACACGTCCCAGCGATGCCAAGCTTGCGCCGACGGGTACGTCACGGTGCGATCGGCTCAGGACGGGCTCCAAGGCTCTCGGAGGCTCCCGCGGCCCTCGCCCCCGGAAAGCCCGCGCGAGACGGCCAAGAGGCCCTGGCACTTCCGGGAACGTGTCGGCATCTTGGCCACCCGACCTCGCGCACCGCGCTCCGAGACGCGCGGTTGGCCCAGCGCCCTCACCCCGCTCTGCGGGAAAAGGGGCAACCGATCTGCCCCGTGCCACGACGCGCACAGCGCGACCACACCTCCGGCCCCTCTGGGAATCAGAGGAGCCAACTTGTGTGGGCTGCATCTAACTCCACCAACATCCGACGAAGGAGCCCGAGGCCGAGGCATCGGTGGCCCATCGTGTGGCCCCCCACGCTCGAACCGTGTGGAGCTGCTCGGGGCCTCCTGCCACAAGGGCGCCCGTCGACTCGAAACGCTGCCATCTCCCGTCGGCGTCTCGACGAGCTCGTGCGCCGTCGCAGGCCCGAAGCAGGGCGGCCTCGCGGCCGCCGCCGCCGACGCGCAGGCCGCAGCGCCGCGCGGGCGCGCCGCCGTCGGACTCGAGCCGACCACTCGCCGCTCCTCGGATTCGCTGCTCCCCCGAGGAGAAGGGAGGAGGAGGAGGAAGGAGGAGGAGGAGGAGGAGGGAGGAAGAGGAGAAAGAGAAGGATGGAGGAGGAGGAGGAGGAGGAGGAGGAGGAGAGGAGGAGGAGGAGGAGGAGGAGGAGGAGGAGGAGGAGGAGGAGGAGGAGGAGGAGAAGGGAGGAGGAGGAGGGAGGAGGGAGGAGGGGGAGGGAGGAGGGAGGAGGGAGAGAGGAGGGAGGAGGAGGAGAGAGAGGAGGAGGAGGGAGGAAGAGGGAGGAGGAGGGAGGAGGGGAGGAGGAAGAGGAGAGGAGGACGAGGAGGAGGAGGAGGAGGACGAGGACGAGGAGGAGGAGGAGGAGGAGGAGGAGGAGGAGGAGGAAGAGGAGGAGGAGGGAGGAGGCGTCACCCTTGCGGATCGCCCTCTGGTACGTGGCCCACGCCGCCCTCCAGTCCACCAGGGGTCTCTCGGGCGGGGGCCCGTTCAGCGCCAGGGCCAGCGCGAGCACCAGCGCGGCGGCCACGGGCCCCGACCACGCCCAGGCGAGGAGCGAGGCCGCCGTCAGCGGCGCCACGATGCCGAGGAGCCTTGGAGGGGGGGGGGAGCGACAGAGGTCAGCGGCGCGCCGAGGGGGGCGTCGAGAGCCGAGCCCTCCGAGAATGGGCCCGCCCCCTTCGCCCTCCCCCGCGGGCGGGCCGCCAAAGTGAGGGGTGACAGGCCCCCAGGGGGCCAGTGCACGGGCACCTGCGAGCGGCGCTGCATCGCCGAAGGCTCGGCGATGGGCCCCCGATGGTGAGGGCCCGCGCGCGCCTGGGCGGGGCGGGCCCCGACGGGCGCGATGGATGGGCGGTGGAGGACCGTCCACTGGGCCCTCCCTGGCTGCCGTTGCCCCTGGAGCCTGAAGCACACGTCGCTCATCTCCTGCACCTGCCGCTGCTCGTGCCTGTTGAGCTGCAGGCGCGTGTTGGTCCTGCTGGTGTCCAGCTTGATCGCCCGGCCTCTCTTGACGGGTATGCGGAAGGTGTGCTCGTCGAGCTTCTCCGCGGGGCCGACGGCCTCGAGGTGGTCGCCCCTGTTCACTGTGCACACCTGCTCCTCGCTGGCCCTGTCCGCCGAGTGCTTGAAGACCTTCGTCTCCTCGGACATCCTCAGGCTTGTGCCGATGCCGATCTCCCCGTCCTCCGCCCAGGGCCAGCACACTTGCGAGGTCTCCTTGGCGCAGCCCACGGCAAGGAAACACTTCACGTTGACCTCGCCGCCGTCGCCGCCGAGGTGGGGCCGCAGCAGCTCCAGGACCCGCGCGGTCGCCGCACCCGGCTCGGAGCCACCATCGCCCTGGTGGTGCACGTAGCACACATCGCACGGGCTGTCGCAAGCGTCCTTCCCTTGCAGCATGCCCCACCTCGCCGGCTCGAGCGAGGCGGGGTCGCGCGCGTCCACCTGCCAGTAGAGCAGCGCGCAGAGGCAGTACAGGGCCACGTGGAAGTCCTTCTCCTCCAGGCCCCTCGGCACCGCCCCGGAGCAGCGCGCGCAGAGGATCCCGCAGGCGCAGACGTGGAGCAGCAGGAGGTGGACGGGCGTCCACCTCAAGCTCTGCTGCTGCCGCTCCAGCGAGGGCCGGCAGCAGCACCGCAGCAGCATGCGCAGCGTGGCGCACACGCTGCACCACGTGAGGCAGCCCCTGCTCCGCCGCACGTCGCAGGCCGCCAGCGCGGCGGCAAAGGAGCCCAGGCACAGCCATCCCGAGACCGACGGCCGCTCGCCCGACAGCAGCCGCGCCAGCGCCCGCAGGCAGGGCTCCCTGCGCGGGGACGGCCCGCCGTCGTCGGCGCCCGCCCCGCCGCCGCGGCGGGCGTCCAGCGTCCACTGCAGGGCGAGGGGCGCCAGGACCTGGAACGCCGCCAGGGCGGCGTCCGCTGCAGGCACGTCCAGCGCCGTGGCCGCCCCCTGTGCCACCCGCAGGAGCTGCGGGTGCGAGCCATCGACGAGAGAGTCGTGGACGGCCTCGGCGAGGGGCACGAGCCTGCTGGAATCCATCATGCAGCCAGGGGCTCGAGCCGCAGTCGGTTCTGCTCAAGCTGTTTTGGGGTTGTTGCCCAGGGTTCCTCGTCCTCCTCCTTCTCCTCCTCCTCCTTCCCCACCCTCCTCCTCCTCCTCCCTCCTCCTCCTCCCCCCACCATCCTCCTCCTCCTCCTCCTCCTCCTCCTCCTCCCTCCTCCTCCTCCTCCTCCTCCTCCTCCTCCTCCTCCTCCTCATCCTCCTCCCCCCTCCTCTTTTTCCTCCTCCTCCTCCTCCTTTAATCTTGTTCCGTGTAAATAACTTCTCCCTATCGCGGGTCGGGCGGTTCGCCTCAGACTTTCTCACCATTTATGATTCTGAAGCTTAAAAATTGGCAACAATTTCTCAGATGGAGGGCGGGTCGTTTTCAAAATGTGGCTATAGCCGAAGCGCCCGCGCACATTCGCTCTAAACAGTTGCAAGAGTTCTACGCGTTGAGGATCACCCGTTTTCAAAATGTGGCTCTCGCCTCAGCGCCACGCACATTCGCTCTAAACATTTGCAAGAGCTTCACACACTGAGGATAACCCGTTTTCAACATGTGGTTCTCGCTCTAGCGCCGCGCACATTCGTTCTGAAAATGTGCAAGAACTTCACGGATTGAGGATAACTTGTTTTCACACTGTTGAACATTCGGTTAAACAACTTGCAAGAGTATTACGCACTGAGGGCGGTTTCTTTTCAAAGTGTGGCTCTCGCCTCAGCGCCGCGCACATTCGTTCATGAAGTTTGCAAGAGTTTCACGGATTCCCACAATCAACGTACCAGAAATTGCGTCTTGGGAGGATTCAAGATTTTGCGGGCGCAACAATTACGGTGATTCACGGCTTTGCAATCCCAAGAATGGCGTTCTCGCACGATCCAGGATCGTCAAGACGCAACAGTCAGGTTGATCCGTGGCTTTGGAATCTCGAGAATAATGTTTTGGCATGCTCCAGGGTCTTCAAACGGTTGTCTTCCAACGAGGCAGATCCCTGTGGAAATGAACCGCTGCAGGGGCCTATGACGAGGGAGCTTAGAGGGAGGGTTTATTGCAACATCGTTGATGAATCTTGAGTTTACACTAGTCCTCCTCCTCCTCCTCCTCCTCCTCCTCCTCCTCCTCTTTCCGACCTCCGGCACCGCTGGGCCGAAGGAAGGCGCCCTGCTTGCGTCGACGGCTCAAGAGTGCAGCCGGACCCCGAGGAATGGGGCCAAGAGGTGGGAGTGGCCTCAAACAGGGAGGGCTGTCAAGATCTGGATCCCTGTCCTGGTGGGCGCCCCTGGAGTCGCCAGCTGGGTGGCTTCTTCCACAAGGATTGCTAAATCGCCACAACGTGCACACGTACCACGTGCAACATCGCCAAGCCCAGAAGACCTGGCGCAGAGGGGAGAGCACATGGACAAGATCAATCAACACCGAATCGGGACGTCGGGTCGAATCGAAACATGCGTCGGACCCGTCTGAATCGGCACAACTGAAGGGGCCCTGGGACACACAAAACAGTACACACACAAATCACAGGATTCCCCACATTTCCCCGTACTTTCTGGCTTTTTTGTCTTCTCCCCCCCGCCTCTGCCCATGGTTTCCAATTTTTTCGAAGAAATCGACGATGAATTGTGTCTGTGTGTTTTTTCTCCTCCTGCACAACATCGAGATTGGCTTAGAGCGGCTGCGGGCCTGCCGGACTCTGCATCAAAAGCGGATAGCGCCCGGATCCAACGACTTGGACCCTGCAGAGGTCTTCAAGAGGTCGCCGGAGGCCCCTCGTAGGCCCCTTGGGGGCATCCAGAGGCCCCAGAGGAGCAAGAGCCTCGATCCTCGATCCTGGGGATCCTCGATCCTCGAGGCATCCAGAGGCCCAAGAGGAGCAAGAGCTTCGATCCGCGGTCCTCCTCCTCCTCCTCTCCTCCTCCTCCTCCTCCTCCCCGATCGTCATCATCCTCGCCCTCCCCGTGGTGTAGCAAAGCGGTTTCAGAATGTGGTTTGTTCGTTCCCCTGGCATGCTCCTCGTCGGTCCTCCCCGACCCTGCGCCGACGCGCACCGACCAGCGAGGCACGGCACTCGGCACAAGGAGCCGTGGAAGGCTCGCGAGGGGCCCCGCGGCTGCGAGCCCCCGGGCCCCTGCGCACCCGTCGCAGGTCAAGACAACCGGGCCCCATACGCATTGTTCCAGCAGGCGCGCGCGCCTTCGGCAACAAACGCCGAAGAGTTCAGGCGTGGACCGCTCGACGCAACAAGCATTAGACCTTAAATCAGTGTCCCCGACACGCCTCGAGCGCCCCGCACACGGCCCCCATGTCTGCGTGGTGGCCCGCCTCGACCGCCCTGCACACCGCGGCCGCCAGGGCCCAGTAGTCCGAGCGGCTCCTGGCTTGTCCCGCCTCGCCCGCCCCGGATGCCGCGGCCGCCGGGCGCCGTTAGTCCGAGTGGTCCCTGGGAGTCCCGCCTCGGCCGCACTGCATGCCGCGGCCGCCAGGGCCCAGTAGTCTGGGTGGTCCCCGGGTATCTCGCCTTGCGCGCACTGCATACCACGGCCGCATGCATTTCGCGGCCGCCAGGGACACGAGATCCCCGAGAGTCCAATGACGACACGACAAACAGGCCTGTCGCAACCAACTGGCAACCCCACCAGGGAGGCGTCACGGTGTCACGCCGTCCAGAGATATCTAGAGCCGACATGAAGAACATACGCCAAGCACGTGTGCCAATCACGTACACCGAGAACATCGACCCTGAGCATATACCAACGGTACACATCAGGACATAGATCAATAAGACACCACACCCCAGACATAACGAATACACATCAGACACAGTCACGCATGGCATACACCATAGAAAGACATCACTAACAACCAGCCTGAACATACATCAACAATACATACATCAACATGCATCACACATGCGCTAACTGCGCTAATCACACACACACGTAAAATGCAACACTGACCGTCACCAAACACATGAAGAACTCACGAACATCAATCACATTCGCCCGTACCGTACACCAGTACTAGATACCGACTAGATACCGACATCATACATTAATACGAGGCACCACGAATAGTCATACCCGAGCATATTCCAACACTATACACCAACAACAAACACCAACACCGTATGCCAATACAAACACCGAGGGCGTACGTCAACATCACATCTCAATCACATAGATCATTCACGTGACCTAACACATACACCGCTAGTATACACGAAGGCCGTGACCAAAACCATACATCAACAAAGAGTATACGCCAGTGGCAGTCGCCCAGAGCAAACAACAACGTCACACTCCGAAATCAGACCTCGACATCAGACACAAGGGACAGTTATAAAAAGCATGTGCCAAGAACAGACAGCAAGACCAGACATCAATAATACACAGTACTTACACACATCGATAACAGACACCAGCGACAGAGAGTAAGAACATACATCCTGACACTCTGGAGATCCTTGATGGGGGTCGCTCGACGCAACATGTTGTTTTGGTACTGGGCCCCTAGAAGTTCCGACCCTTTGCCCAGGGGAAGCTTTTTGCTAAGTGGGACCGATAAAGGGGGGTCAACTCAGGGGGAGGAAGCTTCGACTCGGAATCGGCGACACATCGCCGATAGATCGGCTATATAGGCTCCGGTGGCGAAACCGCGCATTCCTGGGCGAGGCGGGCTATCAGACACCTACCGGCGATGCATGGGTGATCGAAGGTTGATGCAGCCCTCCTGAGCCGATTCCACCCTAAAATTGCCCTCTGGTCTTCGGACCATGACTCGCCTCTCTGGCGGCAGTTCAGCAGTTCCGCGCATTCCTGGGCGAGGCGGGCTATCAGACACCTACCGGCGATGCATGGGTGGGTGATCGAAGGTTGATGCAGCCCTCCTGAGCCGATCCCACCCTAAAATTGCCCTCTGGTCTTCGGACCATACCTCGCCTCTCTGGCGGCAGTTCAGCAGTTCAGTAGTGCGATCTGGGGAGCCCCAGAACGCCCTCGGTGAGGCGCAGCTGCTGGAGAGCATGCCGAAGCTGAAACACCGAAAAGAGCCGACGCAAACCCCCGGCCGCCTGGAACCTCGAACCTGCCGTCCCGTCCCCAAGCCCATCCTCCCCGATGCTGCTCCCAGTCCGCTCAAAACCTATCCACGGACCAGGCCCATCCTGACAGCTTCTTGCGAGGCGGATCCAGCCGTGGCGACGGGAAGCCCTCAGGACGCCCGAACTGGCAGAGCAAGCAAGGAGGAGGAGGAGGAGGAGGAGGAGGGCACGCGTCTCTTGGAAGCCTCGGGGAGGGACCCCCGAAGCATGCACAAGCACTGCGCCTGGGCCAGCTCTGGCCTCGCATGCCTCGGACCACGCGCGCGCGTGCCAGCGGGCGCCGCGCGGACGGCGGAAGGGCCTCCGAGTCCGCCGGCGACGGGCGCGCCGGGGTGGGGCCGCGGCTGTCCTGGCCGCACGGCAGCAGCCCCGTGGTGGGACTCCCTGCCACGTCCGCCCCTCCTCCCTCTCATCCTCCAGCACTTGCTCCCTCCTTCCTCCGCCCCTCCCTCCCTCACTCCTTCCTCCCCCATCCGCTGTGCCCCGGTGCGCCCCCAGGGAGACCAAACCTGCCATCCCGCCCCTGGCAACGCCCCTCCCGAGACTCCCTGCCCCTCGCCCCGTGCTGCTCCAGGCCCGCTCGAGGAGTCCATCCCCAGGGGAAGCTCCTGGGCCTCCAAGAGACATGCCTCGCCCCTCCTCCCTCCCATCCTCCACTCGGCTCCTGTATCGAAGACCCGGTGGGATTATCTCGATCGGATCTCACGGCATTTTTCCCCCAAGGCTCAAGCTTGGTCGGCGGTTCTTTATGTACATCTGTGAAGGCGGTAATCCTGCCTCGTCCAGGCCGAAGCACGCTGCTTTTCGTCGCAGCGGCTTGGCACCAAGCCGAGGGTCACAACGGGGCCCGCTTGGGCACAGTCAGCCGACAAGGACAGGCAGGGCGCCCCCGCAGCGAAACGCTTTTCGGCGAGAACCTCCTTGGGATAAGGGGGGGGGAGCCGCCGCGCGCCACCCCCCTGGGCGGGAAGAGCGCGAAGGGGGGGGGGCGGAGGACGTAAGGGTGGTATCTTTGCCTAGGTGTCTTCTGTGTTTTCCTGCTTCATCGTCCCCTTCCACTGTCCCTCTCTCTCTCTCTCTCCTTCTCTCTCTCTCTCTCTCTTTCTCTCGAATTGGATTCGAGAGAAAGCACACAAGCCACCTAGGCAAAGATGGGCGGGGGAGACGCGGGCGGGGGAGAGCACCCCTCGGGGCACGGAAGTTTTGTAAGTCGGGCCTGTCACTCTACACAGGAGGAATCTCCCAAGACTGTCAACATATAGTCGGGGGACTATTTGTGTGGTTCGATGGTTCTCCCAGCATTTTGGGGGTATATGTTTTGAGTATGTTGCATTATTCGCCCAAAATTTCCCTGTCAGGGGCACACGCCCGACCTAAACGTAATTGTACAAGGCCGGCGCACGCAGCCTTCTCTTCTTTGCGCGCACAAGGGCGCACAAGCAGAGGGCAGAAAATCCAACCCGATAGGTAAGAATCGCTCCGAAAAGCGAAGTCGTTGTAGTAAACGCACCCACGGAGGGAATCGAACAGGGCAGAGCTGTGTAGTAAACGCCCAGGGCCGTTCAGTAAACGCAAAGTGTCGGGTCAGGGTGGTCTTCCATCCCTTGAAAGAGGACATACAGTTGCACAGGCGACCAGAACAGAAAGCTGTCAGGTTCCTGCGCGCACCTCTATAGAAGAAAGGAAAGGCATGGGGACCTCGCCCGGGAACATACACTGGAGGCCGGTCCACAAGAAATCTTCCACAAGACACCCAACCCCGAGACCCCAGGACGTCCATGCACTTTTTGGGGTGGGAACGTCACGCTCTCCACAGCGAGCCCGTCGAAGGCCAAGAAACCCAGGGCACCCTGGAGGCAAGAAGGGTGTTCCTTGGCATGGGTCTCCACTGCACTCCGACCCCATTCAGGAGGAGGAGGAGGAGGAGGAAGAGGAGGAGGAGGAGGAGGAGGGGGAGGAGGAGGGGGAGGAGGAGGAGGAGGAGGAGGAGGAGGAGGAGGAGGGGGGGGAGGAGGAGGAGGAGGGGGAGGACAAGAGACCCAGGGCACCCTGGAGGCAAGCAGCGCCTCTTGGCGTGGGTCTACGCTGTATACCAGTCCTGTGCGCCCTCCTCGGAGGCGTGCGCACGACCCGAGCATCGTCCGGGCTCCTGGGGACGGGGCGCCAGGCGTACTCTGCCTGGCCTCGGGTCGGGCATGTCCCCCTACGGGCGGATTTTGGAAGACAAGTTAAGACTACAGGGCAGTTTTTAATCCATGGGATGTTTTTTGTTCTTTAATGGGATCTTTAATCCATGATGAATGCATGAATAAGTTTATGCATGATATCATCGTTGTTTGTAGTACTAAATCCTGGCATTTTTAATACATGATCCGCACGCGGAGCACGTATCAAAAACGGCACTGCAGTCAGCACGTATTCAAACATGATCTAAACCATCATCGAACACCATCGCCCCGAAACTGTGGCTTTTGACTATGTTCGAATACTCCTCCTGTAGAGGGGCGTGCCCGACTTCCGCCTGGCCCCCCCCGCCCCCCTCGGGCGGCGCCCCGCCGACCCGCGGCCTGCCCGCGGTGCGGCGGGCGGCACCTGCTGCGGGCGCCCTGGAGGCGTCCGTGCAGCCCTCTTGTCGCGCACCGTCTCCCGAGCGGCGTGGCCAGAAATGGGGGGCCAGATGCGAACCCTGCCCCTGCCCCCCGACGATTTCTGAGGGGGAGGGTGGGGTTCACGTCGTTCGACGCGAAGGATCCTGCAAGATCCAGGAGGATCCTGCACCCAAACCCGGGTCAAGGCGACCCTGGCCCTGCAGGATCCTGCAAGATCGGGCGCTCTGGCCGACCCGTTGTTTGCACTGACCCCCGTCTCCAGGCTCCCGAGCCAATGTTTTGAACACGCGTTCGGCTCCTGTCAAACACGTCCCGCCAGCTCGTCCGCCCAAGCCACCGTCGGCGACTACAATGGGTGCGGTTTGCGAAGGGTGCGGTTTGCCTCCCGTCATACCTGCCCCTCCCGCCCCTGGGAAACGGATGACACTGCCACTCAATGCGACCGAATCACATGACATTGTCGCTCCTTCTAATACGACGGAGCACACATCGAGGATGACAGTGTCGCGCGGAACGACGACAATTATGACAATGTCTCTCACAAAGGCCCCGGAAAGGCCGCCACAAAACAACTCGCAAACCGCACCCCGGCGTAACCGCATCGATTGTAGTCGCCGACACCGCCCGCCGCCCGGACCGCCGCCAGGTCACGGGCACCTGCATGCTTCAACGCCGCTTCGGGCCAGGATGGCCTCCAGGCTGGCCCACGGACGGGTGCTGGAGGAGAAGGGGTCCTGAAGTCCCACCAGCCCTTCAGGGCGTCGGTGGGCAAGGGCATTCCCTCTGCCCCTGCCTCCCCTTCGAGGAGGGGTTTAATTCATAACTGTTCCTGCAGTCAACCAGTTTAGCAGAGATGCGCGGCAAGGATGCCGTGTCGACACTTTGAAAGCGGGGCGCGGCCAGCGAAAGCGGCCAAGGATTGGCCGAAGGGGCAAGGATAACCTCGGAAAGTCGCTCATCCTTACTTTGCGGGTTGACTGTAACATGAGATGTGCAGGCGCCAGAATAGCGTAAGAGAAACGGGTGCTGAAGGAAAAGGGGTGTGAAGTCCCACCAGCCCTTCGTGGCGCAGGTGGTTCAGGCCGTTTCCTCTGCCCCTGCTTCCCCATCGGGGAGGGGTTCATCAATGCTCCCAATTACTACAATCGGCCTTGATTGGACAGGACACGCGAGAGGACACAAGACCCTTCCGAGGGCTACATCGCCATAGGAGTGTAAGAAGGCGCGTGTCGCGATGCACAGGACACAAGGGTACCCTTGAGCTGGCAGGGTCGACCTACTCATCCGGGCCGACTGTATACACGCCCTCCCCTACCTGATCGGGGGCGAGCCCGGAACCACGGTGCCCCCCACCATCATCCCTGTACGGAACAAAAGGACATCAACGTTGCGGCAACTTATGGATCACGCGTGGGCACCGAGCGATCGCGTGGCACTGCTCATTGACGAAGACGAAGGGGTGTGCATGCATACTGCCTGCTGCGCGCAAGACCATCATCCCGGTCCAAAATATAGTGAAGACATGTTCCAGCAACTGTCATATGCGGGTTCGCAATGGCCCTTGCCCTCCGAGGTCGTGGCGCGCTGCCCACTGCGGCCCCAAACACACAACCCACTGAGGCCCAGAGTAAGCACACGAGGACCGTAGCATGCTGCCCGCAGGCCCTCCGGCACAGCCCACATTGGCGCCAAGCGCGCCCACAGAGGTTCCCCCGCGCTGCCCCCAGCGGCCCCAGGCGCGCCCACAGAGGGCCCGGCGCGCTGCTAGTTGGCAGGGGCGGTGGGGGTACCCTGATGCGCGGGGCGCACCTCGCGGGCGTCGCGCAACTGGCCAGCGTCTGCGTCGGTTCCCGATGGTGGTCGATGGCGGCCCGTGCCCGCGCCGAGACTCGAGACATGTGGCGGGAGGACGGGTGGTATGAACGAGATCGCCGTCCTTCGGGGGGATAGCCTGGTCCCCCCCTTCCTCCTCCCCCTGGGTCTAGACGCGAGGGGCGGCAAGTTCTTGGAGCGGCCAAGAAGGCATCGGCGAGAAGGCACAAATCCATGATGTTTCATAGGTCGTGGACCCATTTTGGTCTTCCCGAGGGGCGGCAAGAGGCCCGACGAGGCCTTCAAGAGACCCCTAAGCGGCCCCCAGGCGGCCCCCAACAGGAGGCCCCAAGATGCCCCCCCAAGGGCACCCAAGACGCCACAGGAGGCTTTGAAAACCGCCCAGGGGCCCCAAGAGGCCCCCAAGAGACCTCCAGGACTCACCCAAAGCGCCCCAAGAGGCCCCGAAGAGCCGCCAGGATGCACCCACGAAGCCTCCAAGATACCCCGATGACATTCCAAGAGATTCCGAGAGGCCCCCGAGCTCTTCAAATGATGCCGCGCTCCCCCTCACAGGGGCAATTCCCCTGGGCGTTGTTCTTGCATGGGCTGGTGGGTGCAGTCGAGGCGCGAAGAATTCATTTGCTGCTGTCGGACCCCTGGGGCCCTGCACGGGTCCCAAAACTGCCAAAGAACTACTCGGGATGACGAACTCGTCCTGGGGAAGGCCTGCACGGGTGAACAACTGACACGCTGACACGTGGAAGCCGAAACGCGAACTGACCCAGCAGAAGCCGAAGCTCATTCAGAGGCGCCGCGCAAGATCGCCTGGGCATCCCTGACCAGCTCGCAAGCTACTCCGCGCACTGCAGTGTAATAAAACATCAGAACGGCCCCAAGTGCGCCGAATTCATCCAGAGAAGGGCCTCGGAGAAGCTCCAGACAGCCTCAACGGGCCCAACAAATCCTCATTGCTTCCCCAACGCGTCTGCAGAGCAGCCGGACGGAACGCGCAGCCTCCGCACGACGAGCCCGCAGACTCGCCCCAAGGGGTCGGCGCTGCGGCGTCAGCCAAATATCATCGACGGCATGCTATATGCGTGCCGGCGGGTGCAACCGCAAACGGGCGAGCGGTCCTCGTCGTCGTCGAGTCGGAGGACGTCCGCGACGCCCTCGCGCCGATAGCCTCCCGGGCACGGAGTCGGAATCGAACCGAATCGGCCGCACCGGGATGCACAGCAGCGCCACGCAGGCGTCGGGGCACATGGGTCGTCTGGATACTGGGATCAGACCAGCTCGGGCTTGCCGAGATCGATATCAGTCCCACCAGCCCTCTTGGCAATGGTGGTCTAGAGAGCTTTCTCTTCCAAACCCCTTCTTCCCCCTTCGGGGAGGGTTTTTTTACCCCTCCTCCCACCCCCTCCCTCGGACTCGGACGGGGGGGTTCGCGACGCGTTGGAGCGTCCAAGATGGCCCAAGACGGCTCCACGAGCGCCTCAGAGAGCCCAAGACGACCTTCAAGATGGCTCAAGATGCTCCAAGATGCTCCAAGACAGCTACCAAGATGCTCCAAGATGGCCACGGAGCCTCCCCAGGAGTCCGCCAGGAGGCCCAAATCCTTCCAAAACCTTGGAAAAAAACAATGCTGCTTGCTTTCACGCCTTTTCGATCCCGATGGCCTTCCGAGGCCTCAAGACAGCTCCAAGAGGGCCCATGAGGGCCCAAAGAGACGCCCCAAAAAGCCCCAACCCTGCCGAAAGAGCGCCCAAGAGCGCTCCAAGACCGCCCCAAGAAGGGCTCACGAGGCGATCATCTTTTTTGATCGATCTCCTTCAAGATGGCTCCAACAGCGCTCCCGCGGCTCCCAAGAGCGCCTCAAGAGGGCTCCAGGAGGCGCCCAGGAGGCGCCGAAGAGGCCTCCAAGAGCGCTCCAAGAGGGACCCTTCCTCTGTGTGCTGCCCACTTCTCTGATCGAAACAACTCCTCTGGGCATCGTCTCTGGATGGGCTGGTGGGGTTCCGCGAAGCGTCAAGAGTGCCAGATCGATCGGATTCAAATGTGCCGTGATTGTCCCTGGTGCTGGCACGGGGCGCGGTCACTCGTCCCATAGGTTTCTTGACGCGGAGATCCCCACATGTGCATCTCACGTCCGGGCACCTTGGCTGTGAGTGGAAATTTTCACCTGTGGCGGCTGGTTGAGGGCGACTCCGTGCGTGAGCAGCGAATTCTCTGCTGCCCTCGGCAGCCTCCTGCTGATCTGCTCCGCTCTCCGCTGTGCCGTGACGCTCTCCGTTGCTCTCTCCTTCCTGTCGAGCACAGCGAGGCTCGAGTGTGCCCGGGGGGCCAGGTCCAGAGGATCGAGGCGCAGGGCGCTCGGGAGGCGAGACACTCTCTTTCTCAACCTGCAGTGTCTGTGTGAGATGAGCTGGCCACCATGGGCGACGCGCCGACACCTCCAAAGTTGCACAGGCGACCACAACATCAAGGTCTCATGTTCCTGCGCGCAGCTCTATCGGAGAAATGCAGGGGACCTCGCCCGGGAACATACAGTGGAGGCCGGTCCACAAGAAACCTTCCACAAGAACCCCAACCCTGAGACCCCAGAACGTGCATCGAATTTTGGCGTGGGAGCGTCACGCTTTTCATAGCAGAGCCATCGAGACCCCAGAAACCTAGGGCACCCTGGAGGCAAGCAGGGCGTTTCTTGGCATGGGCCTCCACTGTACTCAAAACACGGCTCCTTAGAGGAAAGAGAATTATGCACATACACCGATTCTGGCCAGGCCCACCCTGAGCCCATGATCGGTGTATACTCCTTCCTGCCTCGGCCATGAAATGCACCAATCCTGAGCCCAGGATGGGCCTGGCCAAGATCGGTGCATGTGCATAGTTCGCGTCGCCCGACTCCTCCATTTCTCCTGGCCGTCCGGTCCAGCTCCATCGCTCCCAAGTCTCAAGCCCGTGCGCACCCAAACCCCCGCTGGAAGCCGTGCGGCCTGCCCGACCAAGAGGCCCCCGCCGACCATCAACAAGTCACGCCAACTCCGATCGAGTGCACCGAGCTGGGCCACGGCATCCCTACCCTCCGACGCCAGGAGACAGACAGGTTTCGGAAGAAATTAGCGAACACTCGTGCCGCATTCATCTGTCAATCCCCCCCCCCAATGATAAGTGTTGGCGGCGGGTTGGATGGGCTGCACTTCGACCGCAGTCTTCCCCGCGCGTGCCAACTTTGAGTTTGGGGAACCAGAGGCGAGCCCACTGATTGCTTCACTCTACCAGAAGAGCGACCCCTCCAGGCGAATCTCGTCCAGACGGAACTCAGCCTGCGGAACTCGGCCAGGCTGAACTCGGCCAGGACCGAGTTCAGCCCAGCCGAGTTTATTCGGGCCGGGCGAAAGGAGGGGATAGCAAAGGGGGTGTTTGAGAATCAGCTCACGTAGCTGATTTTCCCGGCGCCTCCCGGCGCCGGGAGGCGCCCATGTATCGAGGAATAGGCCCGGCGACGGGGCCGAAACCAGCTGCACGCAGCAGATTTCGTAGCCCCCCCCTTTCCCTATCCCCCCTTTCCGTTCGGCCCGATTCGTGGACGAAGAAAGAGCGGCATGAACATACATGTTCGGGGATCCGCGCGGATCTCTTGGATCGGCGCGCGCCAGGGGCGGCGGCGCCAGAGGCGTCGCGAGGGGGTTCCAGCGAGGCTCCAAGACATCTGCGCGGAACGCAGAAGACTTCTGCTCATGCAGCTGTGTCGCTCCTCGAGGTCAGCATGGCCGACAATTCCCTAGCCGAGTTCAGCTGCTGCCAGGAAAAGCCCGCCGACAGCTCCACGCCAAGGCCCGACGGGCTCGCTCCGAGGGCGCGCGCGCGCGCGCCAGGCGCCTTCTTCGTCCTCGGCGATGGTCTCGGGCCTCCGGCCGGACCTGCGCCGCGCCGGCCCGCTACGGACCTCACCCCCAGAGACAATTTGGATGCGACTCGCTGCTGGAGGCTGGGAGATGGGCACCAACACCAACGCGCGGGCATGCCTGAGCCGCAACCGGGGGAAACTCATCCCAGAATCCGGCAAGGGTGGTACTACCTCGGCCGCCCGGAAAGCCTGAGTGCGACCGCCATCGCCGAGATCGGGAGCACCTTCCCTCGGTGGAGGCACGCCGCCGATCTTGGGGTTGGCGTCCACCTTCGACGAGCGCGTTCCACTACTCGCAAAATAACTACTCGCAAATGGCCTGGATCCCCCGCTGGGGATGTACGACAAAGTATGTCAGAGCAGATTGGTGTTTTTTTTCTGACGTTTGCGAGTACAGTCGGGACGTTGACCTAAGGAACCCTAAATAAGGAACGAGGCCCATTTTTCCCCATCAGTGAAGGTTCGATTTCCCATCGAAAACCTGTGAAACAATCAAGGAACACGGAGCCCCTCCCCAACGAAAAGAATTCCTTCTTCAGCGCCCCGACTGTAGGAACTTTGCGAGTAACCGCATTCCGGGTTAGTGGAACGCGCTCGGCGACACCTCGAAGCCTCCCAATCGTGTTCTGGCCTCGGGGAACAGCCTGAGCCGCGGCACTGTGTCGGCCAGCGGCTGGCCACGTGGCTCCGCCAGGGGTGCTGACGATGCCGGCGAGGCTGCGCCGCGCCCGGCCCCTGCAAGCTCCTGGGAAGTGGGCTCGAGGAGGAGGAGGAAGAGGAGGAGGAGGATGAGGAGAAGGATCGACCAGCGCATCTGACTGAGTTCGGTTAATTGCTTTACTGTGTCTCCCCAATCGCAGCTCGCGCTCCCCTGATCATGGAATCCAGGGTGATGGGGTCGGCAAAGCAGGGCCTGGTTTTCATGAATCCTGTCGGGTGGCGGTAGGTCTTGAAGAAATGCAGGGCGTGCGTCTTATTAGTACTGGTGGGGCACCTGGGGCACTCGCTCTTGAAAGCCTTGGGGTAGAATTCGCTCAAAACGCCTCAGACCCAGCACGCTATGACACAGCTCTCATTATTATCGAGGCGATAAAACACCTATTTGTCGTGGCTCGCTCCGCTGCTCGGTAAGACAAAAACGAGTGGCACACTGTCCAAGGCACTGCTGGGCAACTCTTCTCGCGCGGCCGGCCTCGCAACATGCTTTGGCCCTGCTGGTGGGCGCCGCCTTCTGTCTTGGCGCAACCACGGGCCCAGGGACCCCAGGAGGGCCGGAGGACGGAGGCAGGAAGGGGGCGAGGACGGCGGCGCCCACCAGGGGCTCCCCGGCGGGCTTGAAACTGGGCCTCCCGCAGGCCTTGCTGCCAGGTCTCGGGGCGATCGCGGGCCACGTCGGCAAGCCCCCGGCACGAAACTTCCAACAACGGATCATGAAACCGTGGCGTTGATCGTCAGCCTGGGTCTCCGCGGGCGAAGGTCCTCCAGCTTTCGTGGCACCAACTTTGGCAAGTCCAGGTGCGGTGTCCTGACCCATGGCCAAAAGCGTTTCCCTGGATCCTGGGGGTGGGTCTTTGCGTCTTGGCGGGCTTTAACTACTTTGCACATCCTTGGAAAGGTCCACGCGCTATGTTTGCTCGCAGCAAGCAGCTCCAACCCCGCATACCTATTCTTCCGATCGGAACCCGCTTGGTTATATTTCGTGATGGCCCCAAGGTGGCCGGAGTGGAAATCAAGTAAGGAAGGGGCACATATTGCCCGCGGCCATGGCAACATGCTCAGCGGCTGGCGAGGTCGGCGGCAGCAACCCTCCCGTCTGACCCGAGAGACGCGCCGCGCATTGGCCGTTCTCGTCTATTACTGCATCAACACATCCACTCTGATGCCAAAGGGAAGGCCTTCCTTTGAAACAACTTCCGTAAACAATACCTCCCCTGGCCATGGCCGCGGCCATCGGTTCGCCGTTTCGGGGCCAAACTTCCCAGGATAAACCAAAGCGCGACGCAAGCTATGGGCTGACATTGGAAACCGTGGGCGAGGGGAGCTGCTTGGGGGTGCTCCTCTAGGTGCTCTACATCTTGGGGGGTCAATACCCCACTCTTCAGGTTGAAGATGGAAAGGGGGCACTCGAACCTGTGCGCCATGTCGTCTCTTCCGTGGCCGCACGGGCAACTCGTGCCAATGTCGTGTCCTGCGGCCACGAGTCTGGTTTCCGTCCACCCACTGTGTAAGATATGGCATCAGGCTGCCGCGTTCGCACGATGAGAGGATGAGGCCCTCCAAAGCTTGCTTGGCAGCTGCGACGTGTATCCTATCCTCTGGCATTCCCATCTCGGCGGACGCTCTCTTCTCGGGCTCCGCCATCCCAGTCGCCTCGAGATGGTACCTGAGCAGCGCCGATAAAACTACGGTGAGCTGAAGCGTCAGACCCTCGGAGATCTAGATCTCAAAAGGGTTCTTGAGGCTCTATTTGGCCTAGGCCCTCTTGAGGCTGCGGGTAGCGACTCCAATGTGTCCCCGGCAAGACGTCCATTTCTTTGGGGGGCCCTCAGGATGTTGTTAAATGTTCCATAGAGTTCAACGCGCGCGAGGCCAACGAGCTGGGACTGGATCGTTACCCTCCAGGCCATGATGCCTTCGCATCTGACAGGGCCCAGGACAACTCTCCACGCAGGGCCCCCAAAGAGACGCAGGCTCAGGGATCGGGAACGGGTCGGGCTCCTGGGGACCACCGTGCTGAGGTATATGTCCTGGCGTTTCGTGACCTCGCTATTCGTGAAAACCACCACCTCCTGCCCAGTGCAACTTGCGCATGTCTGTGCCCGCCTGCTTTGGCGCCAAAAAATTGCGTTTGCGCTTGCGGAGCTTGGCGAAACGGCCTTGGGACATCGCTCGTCCTCGGCGCGATCGAAGGCGCCCTCCTGCCGTGAACAATACCTGAATTGGCTGCCGAATTGATCCGCTCCTCTGTCTGGGGTCTTGCGAGTGGCTCCAGTGGCCGGACGAGAAGTTCCCGAACTGCGAACGACGACGCTAAGGACGTTGATTATTGCAAGGCGATGCGGCATCCCAGGTCGATGTCGATCGGGTCTTCCATGCTGTGGGCGACGGAGAAGAAGTTGGCGACTAAGTCCTTGGGGATCTCATTTTGGGCCTGGAGGAGGTCATCTATGAAAATGCGGAGGTCTACGGTCGGGCCGCCCTGGGCACGGACATCGAGTGGGGCAAGACAAAACGCCTGGACGATGCAGGCGGCGAAACTGCAACCAGCGGGCATTTCAAACTTCGTGTTTCCAACGACAACGGCCAGGCCCTGGCTCGCTACAAGCCTCGGGCATCATAATGGCAATGGACCAATTGAAATCGGCCCCGACGGCTCTGGAGCACCGCTCGCCCCTATCTATGCGTTCGCAGGCATAAGATAGGTCCCTAAGGGCCGCGACAGCGTGTCTAGCCGCCCCTTCATAGTGGGGCGACTCGGCTTGGAACGCTGCGGTGCACAGTTTCCAAGATTCCGCGGCCCGGCTGGTGGGCCAGGACTTTTCCCTCATTTTTGCGCGCCTTCTCATTTCGGCCTTCAGGCTGTCACGCGCGGGCCCGGGCCCTCCAAGACTGTCATTTGGCCTATGCCATGGTTGCTTGGATGCTCTGAATATGCCTGCTGCTCGCGCTTGGGTTCAGGGTCGCGACGGCGGCGCGCGACTGCGTCGGCAAGAGACTTGCCGCCTTGCAGGCGTTGAGGGCGCTGGAGACGAGCTCGAGCTCTAACGGCGGCAACGTGGCAAACTGTCAATGGCGAAAGCCGTCTTGGAGACGCCGCGTCGCGACTAAATCTTCATGCGCCCGACAAACCATCTGCGGCCGCGATTGGTTCGAACTCCGGAAGAGCTCCTGGGTCGGGGCGTTTATGTCGGCTGAGATGCTGAGATTCTCGCGGCTCTCGGTTGCCCATGCGATGGCTACTCTATCTGCTTCAGCGCACATGGGCTCGGGCGGGCGCCCCACCCACTTGCTCACCTGGTATCCATATTCTCCGAGGTCTCCAGGAGGTGGGGTCCTCGGACCACGCGCGGCCCCATGCAGGCCCTCGGATCGTGCTGGATTTGCCCCGGTCCTTCCATTTAGCCGCGTCGCTGGTTTCGCCCCATTGGACTTCTAGATCGAAGGCTGCGTCGACGTCGTCGAAAGACGCGCCGGGAATTCCCCTGGCAACCTCGACGCGCAGCTGGTCATTCCCGAAATCGAGCAGCACCGCCTGGGCCGCACTATTATATGTTCTCGGGAGGGCCTTGTCGCAAACGTTCGGGCGGGACTGGAAATCCTCAAAGGCATTCTGGACATCGAGATTCTGGAACTCGCGATTGTCTAGGGCTCGGCGCGCGTCGATCAGCTTGTTCTTATGCCGACGGAGGAGGCCAGCAAAAGGACCGCCAACTGCAACAGCGCTTACCTTCCGCTTCGCGTGCTGCCACCCACTTGATCTGAGGCCCTTGGCCCCTCGCGCGCTGGCTTCTAGGGGTCGCGTCGGTTATTCCGCTGATGTGGCTAACCAGGTCCGTGGTGAGCGTCTGGTAGGTTTCGTTCAGGGCACCCTCCAGGGCGCGAAATCCGATCTCCTGGACAGGGCTTCTATCTATCTGGTACAGGCCGGCAGCAGTTTTGACCCATTCATCCGTGCATTGTCGAGCCCACGGGCGTCTTGGCGGGGATCTTCTGGGGCTTTACCAGCCCCGGCGCCGGGGTGGGCGACCCCGCGGCCAGGTCGAAATAAACGGGCCTGCGGGGGCTGAGGGGGTAAGATTGAGGACAGCGAGCCCCCTCGCATGGCCTGGAAGCAAGTTGAGAACAGGAAGTAATCGAGGAAGGGGGCTGCTGTCACAGCGCGGCTCTGCAGGAGTGGCAATCCCCCGGTCAAGCCACTGACGAACGAGGATGGCGGCTCCCTGATTGACAGCCCGGCAATCAGATTTGCACCCCATCCGGGAACGCAGCGCTCCAACCATTTTTGGCACGCCG